TTGGGGGGTTTTAAGGTTTTTCATTAGGATTTCGGGTTTAGGGCTTTAGGGTTTTAGGGCATAAGGATTTCGGATTTAGGGTACTAGTATCGAGGGTTTAGGGTAAGGGTAGTGTGTCTCTACATTTGGGAGTTTAGGGGCGTTGGTATAGGGGTTTTGACAGGAGGTCAAGGTCAGGGTTTCTGCAACGGTTTTTGGTTATTTTGGAGCCTGAGCTGGCGATTCGACTTTTTAGGGCCTAGGTTTTAGGGTTTAGGGTGCAGGTTTTTGTGGATTAGAGTCAAGGTTTCGGGTTAAAGGTGTAGCTTTTCAAGGCGGGTTTAGAACATTCGGGGTCCAGTAGATGCGGTTGGGAGTACTGGGCCAAACTTGCAAAACCTTGTAATGTTGCGAGACGTAGGGAATTTGACCGGCACAGGCCTTGCTGAAGCCGATCTGCGCATTGTCCAAATCGTTTCCGATGGTCTTGTCACCCATGTCCTGGCAGTTGGCGGGGAGCTCTTCATGTAGGAACCTGATCTAGAAACCCTGGGCCTATAACCCCAAAATAGTAGGATGCATATAAGGAGCCCTAATCAAGGCCCAAGGTTTCTGAATCAGATGGAGTGTTTGAAGGATTTGGGTTTTTATTGGGTCTTTCCAGATCCGTGCCATATCGTTTCCTGACCGCGGGACTTTCATTGATTGCGAGGTGGGGTCGGCCTTGAGTCCTGAACTCAAAAACCACAAACCCCTAAACCCCTAAGCCTAAACCCTAAACCTCTGAACCCTGGCCCTAAACCCTACAGCCCTATAACCCAAAGCCTACACCATGTCAAATCCTAAACCCCTACACCCGAAAACCATCCTTATCAAGTTTTGGTACGTCGACAAGCGCCTGGGAGGGAGCCCTAACTCAGAACCCCACCGAACTCTCGTGAGGCAGTAGTCATGGTATGCCTATGTATGACTACAAGATAACATTTACCGAAACCCCCATCCTGCTTGTTCCGGGTCGCATGTTTCGGGCTGAGGTTATTTAAGGTTTAGAGTACAGGGTTTGGGGGCCTAAAGGGCTTAGGGTTTAGGGGTTTAGGGCTTCGGGCTCAGGAATTAGGTTTGAAGTAAAAGCCAGAAAGTTGGAATATGATTATCCTAAACCCTTTATGGTAAATTATAAGGTATCCTACCCCGACACCATATTCCAACTTTCTGGGGTTCCCTTTAGGGGTTCTAGGCTTGGGGCATGGAACACTACATCCCAAACTGAAGCCCCACGAAAAACTTCTTCACGTCCAGACTCGATGTACAAACTCAGACAGCAATTTCATGGAACCCATATACCCTTGTCGAAATCCCCTAAACCCTAAACCCTAAACCCGAACCCGAATACCCTGAAAGAAGCCCTGGACCTTTCCGTGGTGAACTGTGCTCGGCCTGGGCAGTCACGCCGGGGACGAGCTCCCCGTTCTGCCTTTCAGGCCCCAGTCGCTTACCGGTCTGTCCAGGGTCTATATGGGTGCTTGTCAAAATTATAGCCCCTTTTTGGGTACCCTAAATATTCGGTGCCGTATAGGGACCCAAACAGGGACCAGAATTTTGACAACCACCCACAGGGGAGTTTCCGAAAGTTAGGGGCTCCTTTAAAGGGATCTATAAGGGTTCCGAAATATCAGGGATCTATACAGTTTAGGGTTCCGGGTTTGGGAGTTTCCGAAAATTAGGGGACCGTAATATGGTACCCTAAACAGTAGGATCCTTATTGCAAGGTCCCTACAAAAAGCTCTGGCTTTTAGCCTTGTAACCTCGACCTAGGGAAGCCAAACCCCTTGGCACGAGTACTCCACTCGTCTTCAAAGATAACAAGCAGGTGAACCCTAACCTGAACCTTGAGCCCGACTTCATTGAGCATAATCACAGGGAGACTCAAAGGCTCCGTGCACCAACTGCCTGATCCCTCAACCATGAGTGCTGGGCATACCTATAGAATTTTCTGCTACGGCTGTGGAGCTCGCAAAAGCAAGCAAGTGCCGGCTCCCTGTTGGGTGTGGGCTGCTGGCATGCTGCGGGCATGCTGGCATACGCATGCACGAAGGTGGACGCACTGGCGTGTAAAGGCAAACGAGCTTCTGCATGTACCGACATACGAGCACATAAAACTATTCCATCTAGATGCACACATACGTGTGTGTGTATACATACATACATACATACATACATACATACATACATACATACATACATATATACATATATATATATATAGATATATCCACTCATTCCTTTATTCTTTGTATATGTGTCGCAAGTTTTCTGTGTGCATGTCTGTGTGTGTGCGTGTGTCGGCAATACTCCCGCACGTGGAAGCAATGGGGACATGGCCTCTCGTTAGGGTATTTTCGGAAACTCCCTTATCATGTTCCGCATCTTCGGCAATCATCCATACACCTAGGAGTGCCTCAGCTGCATGACGAAGCCATGAGGCCCCTTCCGCTGGCCTCCCGAAAGCTTGCTGCATGGT